GTTGTGCTATGTGACCTATGCGGCGGCAAATCTGGCATCGGGGACGCCCGTCGTTGGCACGGGAAGTTCTCTGAGGCCAAGGCATTGGGGGGCGACGCACCTCGTCTTCGATGCTTTTTAGCCGGTCAGACAGCAGGGCAACCGAGTCCGCAATCGTTTTCAGGTGTCTCTCGCGGTCGGCAGCCTCCCGCGGGCAGCGCAATTCGGCCGCGGCGCAGGTGGCGACACACGTAGGAGGAGGGTGCCCTGTCGCTGCGGCGGGTGCGAACCCTACGGGATGCGCGATGTTTTGCATCCACGACTGCGATTCGGTGGAATACTGGATGCCAATCGGTTGTAGCCCCGACACACGGCTCATCAAAGCTGCCAGATTTATTCGTTGCAAAATTTGGAGGAATGCAGTGCAGCTCTCCGGGTTTGCGATTATCATCTTCTCCAGAATATCCGGACGTAACCCGCGTATAAGGTGCCGCAACCGATCATCTTCCGTCATAGACGGGTTCACTCTTGCACACAGCTGTACGACGTCATAGTAGTACTGCTCGGGGGTTTTGGACGGCAATTGAGTGCGGTTTTGTAGCCGCAAATGGGCGATCTCTACTGAGTGGCGACTCGTAAAGGACGTTTTTAGTAGCGTCGCCCATTCTTCCCATGTATTAGGGGCACCGGTTAGAATTTGAGTATTGTGCCACTTTTTCGCATCTCCGTCTAAGGCCAGATATAGAAATTTCACCTTCGTGGCTTGATCCCAATTATTAAGCGATGCTACATGTTCGTAGCAAAGTAGCCACTCGGAAATAGATTCCTCCGGCGCACCTCTAAAGACTGGTGGTCCGATGAATGGTTTAGCTTGGGGGGTAGACATAGCAGAGAAGAAGGTATGGGGTTCCGTCATAGTGGAGCTGTCAGAGGTAGGTTCCTTATATTTGTTGTTGACTCGGGGCATAATTTCAGAGCGGGACTATCGTTACCGAGCAACCTCCACCACTTTGTAGCGAAACGTCGGGGTTGTTCAAGTTAGGCGCATCGGACGACCAGGGAGACGAATAAGTGTGGTTGAAACTCCGCGGAGGCAATCGATGAGAAGTCAACACGATGAATTCGGGGAGCACTCATTGGGGGTTTATTTAGCTAACACAACTTCAAGTTACAAAATGCACTGGGTTACAAAGACAAAACATAGAAAATGGTGGCATACCCCTCGGCCCGCATAGCTGGTCTCCGGTGGTGAGATCCGCCGTTGACCCCGACTCCACTCCGCTCACTTTTCAAGTTCAAACATCCTCTTTTAAACCCTTGGTCGAACAAAGAGTCTTCACAAAAACCAATCACATGTTCGGACTCGCAGCATCTCAACCAATCACAGAAACACTTTCATAAAAGGCACTACATTTGTAAAAACCTCCTTACCAAAATGAAACACGCAAAGGGAAAGGTCCTCCGCACGTGACACTCTCTCCCATACCAGGCCGGGCTGCCTCCTTCGGCCGACTACCGTCGGCGGCCGTTCCCACGCTCGGGCCCCGTAAGTTCTTTCATTAACTGTTGCTTTCTAGAAGCGTCCTTAAGAGCAATGGGTACACCATTGCTTACCAGGTGTACATGCGACAGCGAGGCGCCCCGACATCCTAACAAGAGCGCGGGGGAATATGGTCGTTTACCGGCCGCCACTAAGTCTCGGTCAGGCTAAGTGGTAGCGTCCCCATGTCATTCTTAATGACACGCGTGCCTGTTAACAATGGCTTAGACTCCGACGGTGGCGCCGGACCTGCCTCTCGCTAGACGCTTTTCCTAGTAAGCTTTCCCCTTCTAATCCCGAACGGGGCGACCTTGACTGCTCGGTTTGTGAGCCGTAAAAATGCAGCGTGTAGGCGCCTGTCCCAGGCTGGAAAACACGATTTATCCCACATTCCATTAAAGTCGAAAGCCGAAGCTCTGTAATGGCCAGAGAAACAAACCCAAAGGTAGAAGAGTACAAAGAAAGACTTAAAAAAGAAGCAGGAGTTGGTTTTGCACAAATTTCCTGAGAAGATACTGGAGCTGGAAACCTTGCTCTCACGACAGGGGTCTGGCGAATTTTCGATGACGACGAAAAGCAATCTTCGTATTGCAGGAGCAGGGCCTTGAGCTGTTCTTGCTTATCGTTCGGAAGTCTGGGATTGACGTCGAAAGCTATGGGAGGGGCTTGGTTCCTCTGAGCAGGTTCCGCAGAATCGGCGAGGGCGAAAGCACTGGTGGCTTCGACAATTTCTTCGATGTATGCGACCGTTGTTCCTTTGTTCACATGTTTGTACTCATTGCTGAAATTCGTGAGCATAACCGTTGCTTTGCCTCCCCGCAGCTCTGCAATTCCTCTTGCGACGCAAATATTTCGGGTGACCAACAGATGCTGACTGCCTTCAACGACGCCTTTGAAGTCAGGTGATTCAGGAGCGCCGACTGAAATAATGACGCTTGAGCGAGGCGGAATGGTGACTTGTTCTTCCAGCACATTCAAGGCATGGTGTCCAGACGGCGTGCGCGGCGGTAGTGCTTCTTCTGTGGATAACGTTATCGACTTTGTTTTTAGGTTGATGACGGCACCATGGAGGCATAAGAAGTCCATGCCAAGGATGACATCTCTCGAGCAACGCTGTAGGACTATGAAGTCTGTAGGATAAATACGGCCGTTAATGGTGACTCTCGCTGTGCAGATTCCTGCAGGCGTTACGAGATGACCTCCGGCTGTGCGGATTTCAGGGCCTTTCCAAGCTATCCTAACTTTCTTTAACTTTGCGGCGAACGACCCACTGATGACAGAATAGTCGGCTCCAGTATCGACGAGAGCGGTCACACTGTGGCCGTCGATAAGAACGTCGAGGTCGCTAGTTCGCCGTCTCGCATTACAGTTAGGGCGTGGCGTCGGGTCACGGCTGCGTCGGCTTGTTCCGCTGCTTCCATGTTGCGTCGTCAGGCCACCTTCGGTAAGTGAGCTTTCGCCGTCAGGGCTTTGCGTGGTTGTCGTTGTGTTCGGAAAGCTCCGTCGCGGCGTCGTCGTCGTCGGAGGATCTTCGGTAGTTCGTCGCACAGCAACCGCACCTCCACCGGTTGCTGCCCTTAGTTTCCCGGATACGGGCTAGGAGACCGGCCCCGCGTTGGGCCAGAGTACTGTCGGTGGTGCGGTGACGTGCGGCGGCTGGGCGACGGCGAACGCGAAGGGCTTCGTGGTGTCCACCGAGTTCCTGTCAGGTAGTCGGCGATGTCACGTGGTCGTTCTCCTGGCTGCGGACGTGGTGCATCGACGGCGAAGCCACGCAGTCCCATCTGTCGGTACTGGCAACGGCGGTAAGTGTGCCCGGCCTCGCCGCAGTGGTAGCACAGTGGGCGGTGGTCAGGGGTGCGCCAAACGTCGGTTTTCCTCGGCGCACTGCGCTGGCCCGCTGGTGAACGGTAGGTCGTCGGTGGGGGTGGTGGCGGCGGTGGTGTCTGGCGACGGAAGTGCGACGGGGCGGCGTTTTGGCGTGGACGGGGAGGAGCGTTGTGGCGCACTGCAGCGGCGTAGCTCATAGTTTCTGGCTCGGGCAGCGGTGTATGGGGAATTCGAAGTGATTGCTGAACTTCTTCTCGCACAATGTCGGCGATCGAATCCACTTGAGGTTGCGCCGAAGGCAACAGTTTGCGCAGCTCTTCCCACACGATCGCTCGGATCATGTACCGCACGCCCCCGTCAAGCCGTGTACCCAGCACCTCCTCCAGATGTCACGGGGTCGTGACGTGGCCGAAGACAGGAGACTTCGTGTTTGGATTTAACTGTTTATTTAGGCGAACCTGTGCCCGGTAAACGGAAAGTCCAATTACAGCAGGAGTCTCGCACAGATAGCAGTCTCGGACTGATAGCGGCGAACGGAGCGTCGGCCTTCGATCAACAACTGACAAGCGGCGAAGCGCGTCGGCATTTATACCCTTGCCGTCGAATGTTATAGCGTTACCGCTGGCGGCGGCGTACGTTCCAGAACAATCTGTACCATTCGCACAGTGGGCGTGATCTTATCGAAATGATCTACTACAGTCCGGAACCCTCTCGAAAACTGCAGGCGCGGTTTGCGCTGAGAATCGTGTGGTGTTTTGGGACGATAACAAAAGCTTGGGAAATGGAACGTGGCAATATGCCCTTAGCTGGCAACAAAAAATTTAGGTATACACAGCAATTATGTAATGCAGATACAGGGTACGCCGTATAGCGCCGCGATGCATTGAGCCCAAGCTTGTCATTAAGTTATTTTGCTTTGTTATAGCATAGAGGATCGCGTTTCACGCTGTAAACGTACGTTTGATATCACCGAAATATTTTTGCTTTAATAGCTTTTGTGCTTACGCACTTGTGCTTTGTGACGATGCATCAAAGTAGCATTCAAATGATGACTGTTGCTAATACCAGCCACCATTTCAATAACTCTGTCAAATTACCTCTGTTGTACACAAACTCATTTCTTATGTGTTTTTGGTGATACAGCCCGTGTACACTTATACACTTCATCTTCTTGCGCTGTCATAAAGAGCTCTGAGTGACACTCTCAAGCTGTTTCCAAAAGCTTTTCGCCTGAAGGGCCCCCAACAAATTGGAACAAAATTTAATAAATAAAGAATTCATTGATTGATTGGTTGATTTATTTATTTATTTATTTATTTTGTGCGTCATTGATTTTAGAGAAAATACACTTTAATAGATCACCAAGTTGTTGATTTTACAATCTATCACTTTGTTGTAATAAACCTATCAAAAAGATGAGAATTGAACGGCGCTAGAAGCTTTCAGAAAATCGATGGCAGGTCATGCTTATGTGCATCACCTTACACAGATATATTTATGAAAATTCGGTAAAAAAGTCGTTATCACCCTGAATTGGGCGTTAGGTAGTGACACATTCCTGCTGTATAACTAGCCTCTCACTTCACCGTTATTCTCATCGTAAGCTCCACACCGTTTCACTTTCGAATGAAGAAACACCTGTTGCACTCACCATGATGGCTATGAGTATCCGTAGCTGCAACCGCTAAAACACATAAGAACGTGCATGTTTTAAAGATGGTTACTAGAGTACCAGAGTTAGGTCCTAGTTTTCTGAAAAGTTCTTCAACATAATTGGAAAGTGGCTCCACAGATTCTGTTCAACGCTTCCACATTGTAGTCAAAATAGTGCCTTTAGGCGTGTAGTGTATCTCAACTCCGATGCATAAGGACATTTAATAACATTAGAGAATGTGATTGCGATTACATTTTCTCACAATAATGAGATCTGAGAGTCATTCTCAAATATGGCAGTGGAACCGTTTCATGAGGTAGCGCGGTAACCAGTACGGTATTTTAGCTGCTCTATGTACTTGACAGGAAGGATAACTTTACCAAAGCGAAATCTTATTCGGTAAATTTCCATAAAATAACATAGCCAAAATCCACCAACTTTCAAGTCACTTGAGTGAGTCCCTGAGATGCCCAGCTCTTAGTTGCTTCAGCCTTATCTCACCAACTTTTGGGGCCAACTGCATGCATTCACTGCAACCAGTCTTGCTATGCAGATGCCGTCAGCCAATCGGCTGATTGTTTATTTACTTGGCGAAGTTGTCAATTATGGTTGTCTTTCGTAATGGTGTTTTCTGTATTTAGCATAATATTTCTCTGAACAACAATATTTCATATATTGTCTTAGGAACGATCTCCGGAAATTCATAAAACGTTATTAAACTTTTATTCCTTTTTTGTAGAACCTGCAGTAAGCCTATAGCAGAAAAGTTTTGGAGCGTTTCTGTCCGCTCATTTATTATGGGGCATTTGTGCAACAAATATTTTCGTTCATAACTTTTCTCAAGCGCACTGATATGAATAAACGTGAACGCTATCCAAAATTCTTTAGATGTAGTTCCTCCTACGTCACACTATTCACTAGGTAGCAACAAACTTCCATCCACCAGATAGCTGGAAATCATTGAAATTACTTTTACTGTCAGTCATAATGAACACAAGAAATAAATATGGTGTATTCTTCTTCAAGGAAGAATCACAGACTAATATGAATATACAATCCCGTCGCAGGGCTGAAAACATTTTTTTCTCCTTTTTTGCATTATTGCACATTTCTATCTTCTAACTGCATTGTTCACTGAGCAAAAACACTTCATTTTTTCTGGTAGATGGCAATGCGCATTTGCGTCAGCAGAAATCATTAGAAAAACTACCTCCATGAGCCAATGAAATAATCATTCTTTCGAATACAGTTCTTACGTGCCGGTGCTCCGCCTGGGGTGTCTGCGGTTCTTTCATTCATGCTCTCTTAAGATGGGAAAATCAATGTTTCTTTACGTACTTGAGTATCCTGTCACTACTGCCCAAACATTGGTTGTGCATATGCCCCAAACCCAGGGAAATAAGGTGCACAAATATTTGCCTCAGTTTGTACATGACGCGTTTGAAGGCGATATTCTACATTTATTGCGCTTAGGAAGTAAATGCTGCCACTTAGCAGCGTAACTTCAACGTGAAAACATTCAGCCACTGTAACACTTATTTCACTGGCAACTAACTGGCAAGGCATCCACAGTAGTGCAGGAGGGCTAGCATACTAATGTTATATCTTATATGAATATAAGTCACCGAGGTGAAGGCTCATGCATAGTGGCCTTCAGGAGGTCATCGTTCACATTCACATGCATAGGCGTGTGCGCAGGGTTTGTCTTCGGGGAGAGGGGAGAATTCGTTGCAGCGCCCTCTCACCTCTTACGTCAATTTATGGGGCTCACTTTGCGCCCCCCTCACAAGTCGCAGCACCCCTCCCTATTATGTCAGTGTATGGCGATGACTTAGCACCCCCTCCCCCCTCATAGGTGACTAGAGAGAGCAGCCACTTTCCACTCCCACCCCTTCACTTGCGCATGCGTATGTTCACATGCACATTATTATACGTACAACAGTAAAAACGATAAGTATGCACATCCGCTTTTCTTTCACAGTAATAATTATTTGTTCAAATTATTTTTACCACACGCATGTGAGCATACATAAAATATAAAATTTACAATACTTTACTCCAGCGTAGTCAATGTCGTTGCGGGAAGTCATTTCAAGTACCGTGTATACAAACAAATTTACTTACCTGGTTTCTTTGAGGCCTTTATTTTAGTTTTTGAACTGGACGAGTGCTTAATGCGTGCTATAAATCAAAGAAAGGAACATCTTATTCGCGCAATATTGGAGTGACTCTTATCATGCTATTAGGGCATGACAAGGCATACAAGATCTCCTACAAGGTGAAGGTATGCTTCTGCATGCAGAAACTTTAACCTTGTCTTCTTTTATAGCTTGTTCTCACAGTGTCGGTACGCCCACTTCTCTAATACTGCTTTATTTGCTCTTATTATCAAGATAACTAAAACCGCCAAAGTATTCTTCAACTTGTTTCGCCCTGCTGAAGCCAACATTTTTTAGTAGACACAAAACTACACTTTTTGAAGCTAACATATATGAATGAGGTTTCACACCTAATGTTTGATTGATATGTGGGGTTTAACGTCCCAAAACCACCATATGATTATGAGGGACGCCGTACTGGAGGGCTCTGGAAATTTCGACCACCTGGGGTTCTTTAACGTGCACCCAAATCTGAGCACACGGGCCTACAACATTTCCGCCTCCATCGGAAATGCAGCCGCCACAGCCGGGATTTGAACCCGCACCCTGCGGGTCAGCAGCCGAGTGCCTTAGCCACTAGACCACCATGGCGGGGCCACACCTAATGTCTTCATTTTGAAATAAATGCTCACGAATGAATCGAAAATAAAATAACGAAAACAATTTTATCACGAAAGCTGTCATACATGTCCTCTTACAAGTATTACAAAAGTTTGTTCAATCTCTAGTTCATAACATGACGAAATTTATTTAGCGACTTTCTTTCTTCGATAGCATGAACTGTCTAAAAAATGTCTGCCATTATGACTACGCATGGAAGATTTTCAAGAATAATCCTGATGAAATAACGTGAACCGCTTTCCTTGGAACAGAACCGAAATTTTGAAATTTTGCAGCAATGCAGCAACGCGGCTTCTTTATTTCCGATCAGCCAACTATTGATACCTTCTGAAGCCAAACAGAAAAATGTATGTTAAACAACTTGGACCTTCTGTCTTGCTTTGCTTTGCATGGATAAAAGGTTAATGTTACGATTAATTTAAAAAAACATAAACAAATATTCTCGCCGGATAAAGATGCGTCTATTAAAATAAGGGCATCACCAATATTAGTTGTTGTTTTTTTTTTTCACGTATGTACAGTTTCAAGTATGCGTCAATATTTTTTTCTGAATATATCTTGTTAAATGGCACAAGTTCCCTTCAAGTACATTTTACAATTATTAATATCCATAAAAAATGTTCGCCAGCAATAACAATACTATGAAATTTAATATCTGCACTGAAATCATTTTTACAGTAGTTCTTTTATTGATTATCTATTATATTTATCATTGGTAATTAGTGATCGCGTACTTTCAACTTTTAAGATGATTGTAGGCAATGGTGGATTTGTACGGGGTTCTGCACTTTTCAATATTAAAACACATGCTGGCGAAACACGCAATTTTAGCCAAGAAATCGTCTTCAACGCCACACTGTGGCGCATCACCACGATGGGTCTAATAGCTCTTATTCAGAGGTTCTGTGTTAGCTAAAATTAAATTGATTTGTTAAAGCGACGGCGTTTAAACACATTGCATTCCAACACAAGTTGAATTATCTGAAGAAATCACCTTCCTTCCCGAACTGGTCGTTATGTGTTATAACGTTGACAACAAGTTAAACAGAAATCATTTATTGCATATATACACCTTGTCATGAAATACATTTGTAGCGAAGAAAAACATGCTATATTTTAAAACGAACTCATGTTAGAAGCATATGCGACGGTCATCTCAAGTTGTTACTGAATCCACCCGACCTTCTGGCGTTCTACCCCATTCCGGCGAAGATTTTTTGTACTCACTCATTTTAGACTTGGATTTTGAGGTCCTCGGCTTTTTCACTCTTATCTTTTTCAATTCTGTAAAGAAGTCATATTCAATATTAACAACGATGACAATTGTTAATACGTAAAAGTTATTTCAGTTTTCTGTAAAATATGTCTATCGAGGCAGGATACGTGCGCGTCTCGTGTGACAATGTCAGAGTAAAAAATTCACAGCTTATCCACGGAGGGAACGATGAGGACTGAGTTGAACCATCCATCCGTCCGTCTGTCTGTCCTTCCGTCTTTCTCTCGGTCCGTCCACTCCTATCACACAAGAGCACGCATCGGACGGACGGACGGGCAGACGCTTCACCCTACTCATCATCATTCACTATGGGGACATGCTGTGAATTTCTTACTATAACAGCGCCATCTATCCTCTTTAATCGTCAACTGTACGGAAACCACTAACGACATCCAATGATACTACTTCCAAAGACATGTACACACAGCGCCATTTAGTAAGGACTTATTAAAACTAACTAGAAGTGGATAAATACATACTACATACAAACGGAAGAAAGAACGACCCACACCCTAAGGAGCTTCGCCCCTGAAACACTATGCCATGTTGCACTACGAAACCTTTTCTGTGGGGCGTCAACCTCGGTAGAACAGTGATTAAGGGGCTCGGTCGGGTTCGATTCTGGCTGCGTGGTCATATATCAATGGAGGCGAAACGGTACAGGCCCCGTGTACCGTGCGATGTCAGTGCACCTTAAACAACACGAGATGGTTGAAGCTTCTGGAGCCTTCTACTATGGCGTCCCTGATAATCATGTCGCAATTATGGCACCCAAAACCCCGTGAACTATTATTGTAGTGCCCCAAATCAATACAGATAAGACACCATAAGTGTACGAAATCATTTTCAAATAAATTACTTTATGATAAAACTATTGAAATTAAACGAACAAATAGTGGTTCCGGCAAATTTGAGTGATCGTTATGGCTCTTTGTAAGGGCTACCATCTAGTGAATGATGATGGTCATAACTACCATGGTCATTTTCGAATTTTTTTCCTTATATATCTTTGCAAATAAGCAGTATTGTTTGGCACTGGCCTCCTGAATAGAAATCGTTGTGTATTGGCTGGAAAAGTTCACAGGGGACACCACTATCTTCCGGAGAACTACTTCAGGATAACCGTGATAAGGCAATATTTAGAGCGTGTTGACAGGGCCTTGTACACGTTGTTTCCTTTCTTTGTCAGCCTTACACTGTGGACCACACGAGCAACTGGTAGTAGGGATAGCAGAGGTTATACATCACCTAACTGAGAAAGGGCACCAAAGTGCATTTCGGTGGTTACCCAGTCTCTGCAGAATCATCGGCAATCAACGCGCCGATCAAGCTGCCCGCTCAGCCCACGCAGAAGACCATGAACTGCGACTACCGCTTTTTAGGACCGATGCTGCACGAGAGCTCCGCAGGCTTGCTCGCCAGCAAACCACATCACAATGGAATCAGCCACACTTCAAGCATGCCCTACTGTACTCACTTGACCCTACGCTAAGTTTTCAAGTCCCGTCGAGGCTTTGCCGAGCATACTACACCCTGTTATTTAGGCTGTGGTTGGGCGTTGCGTTTACCAATGCCTACGCCTCCCTCGTAGGGATGGCCGACCCCGCAGACTGTGACCACTGTGGCACCAAAGAAACCATCCGCCATATCCTTTGTGGCTGCCTAGAATATAGTAGACAGCGACTATGCTTTCGCAAGGAACTTAGCAAATTAGACAATCAACCTCTGCCGGAGGAAAAAAATTACAATATCGACAGGATGCAACGTCACAGAAGAATGCCCTGCAACTGTGTGTGTGTGTGCGTGTGCGTACGTGTGTGTGTGTGTGTGTGTGTGTGTGTGTGTGTGTGTGTGTGTGTGTGTGTGTGTGTGTGTGTGTGTGTGTGTGTGTGTGTGTGTGTGTGTGTGTGTGTGTGTGACGCCCTTCCTGTGCGTTTTTGTTATCTCCTGACTGCTCGTGCGTTTTTCTCTTTCTCTCTCCACACCCTCTTTCTTGCACATTTTTTCACCCAAGTGCTGAGTGGCAAACCAGATGCCAATTTCTGGTTAATCTCCTGGCCTTCCTTTTCTCTCTCTCTCTTCTTCCTTTGTCATTCACCGTCTTCATGTTGCAAAGTTTCAATGACTACTTGTCATTTGAGATTAAATAGCAAAATTTGAGATTAAATAGTGTTCTCATGGGCACCAATTTTGAAAATATATAGGAATTTATAAAACGGTAGGAAGGGGAGATGAGAGCTCGCGAATAAAAAATCCGTAAACATGGGCTGTGTCGAGCCGACCTTTCGAAAAGTGGACTTACCTTACTGTTCCAGCCTTGAGGAAGGCAAGTCCACTTGTCGAAACGTCGGTGCGACACAACCGCTGCTTACGGATTTTTTATTATGGGCATCTATAGCCATATATAAAGATTTAGGCAGAAAAGTAAAAACAAAATAGGCCTTTGCAGCTACTATAAAACCCTATAAACATTCTTAACCTCTGGCTTATACTCATATATCAAACTGCGTCTCTCATAATCATATGGTGGTTTTGGGACGTTAAACCCCACAAATCAATCAATCATATATCAAACTGACACGACAGCAACGCAAAAAACAAAATAAGGATTTCCCTATAATCTCGTCTTTCCTGATGAGGTACAGGTACAACACACCGGCAAACACCTCTAAGGGAACACTACTCCGGAAACCGAGAAGCGTTAAGAACACCGAGAATAAACGAGGCTAGCTTACAGGTGAGCGAGCTGCGCTACAAGTTTTTGTAAAAGTTGCTGTGGCACGTCTCTTGAGCAGTGAAGCACCTTTACCCAACCCTGTTGTTATCTGTAGTTTTATGGCAGTGATAATGTGCAGCATGAAAAAAAGATGTAACAGAAAAAAATATTCCAGTGTAGACTTACTTGGTCTCGTTATTTTAGAGAGGGCCTCTTCGAAAAGCTGAATAGTGAGAGCGATCACTAGGATGATGACAACAACGGGTCTCATTACCTCTCACTTCTAAGAAAACGTTTTCGATCTAATCGCCAAGCGATCGTTTTCAAACTGGGCTAATTCATGCAACGTGACTGCAGCTTTGTCCGAAAGCGCTGGTCCACAAGTGTTTCGCAGCAGACAATGAGAGCAAGGTATGTTATGCGGGTAATGGTGGATAACATTAGCCCGACAGAAAAGAGCTAGCGATTCACGACTCCAACGCAGAGGAGCGTATTATAACACTCAGGTGATAGCATGCCAAAGAAGAAAGTCATCATTAAAACATTGAATTCTTCTGTACATGAAAAGTCAGCCTTAACAGGAGCGATCTGGCGCCAAATTCACAAATATTGTGATATTCTTCATACTAATCTCTCTTTCCGGCGATTGTATTCTCAATATAAATTGTTTTAGTTAGTTTGATAGCAAGTTTATTTTCCCTAAACACACTTACTCGTAACATTACTTCGATTCTTCTGAAAAAAACAGGAAATTCATAATCTTTGTCAGTAGATTACTCATATTACGTAACAGCCCATGCGGTACATACGTCATAAAGCATCTTGGGGAACTTTATTGTCTTGCTTCAGTATTCTGTGGTTATGACGCAAAGGCAGATACTCTTACCTAACGCTTACCGCAGTACAAGAGCTCAAAATATTTTTCTAAACAATCATCGGAAGATCTTGTTATAACTCAAGTTCTGAGAATCACAGGTGTGCTTTTGCCACTGGTCACATAGAGACATTGTTCTCACAGGGCGCTTGACAATGTTTCTATTCTTTTTTTTTTTGCTACCTAGCATTCATCTGCCTTAATGCAAATCTTGAGACTATCCTTCCACGTTCGCTGCGCTCTGATCTCACTGGCATTTAACGTGACATATTTAACCTTTGCCATTGATAAATATTATCTTTTAGGACCAATGTGTAGTATTTATCATACATGCATTAGTCTCATTCTATCTGGCGCAGAGTATCACAGTCGTTTCACCATCTTCACTAGTTATGCCTCTACGAAATTTTGTTTTCTTTAGTTCACTGGTCACATTAACTGCTGCCTGCCATGGTATCTCGTATGCCACTTGGAACAAACTTCACCACAAATGCAGTATTCGATAAGTTTACAGTGAAATCGAACATATCGTCTATGCGTAGCTGCGATAGCCGGCAAGATGCACCTATAATCATTGTCTATCTCTTGCATCAGCTTCCAGGTCACTTCTATATTCAACTGAACTAAGTGTTTTGCCATTGTTCAGTATACGAAGAACTTGCTTTATATAACACAATGGGTGAGTGCTCTGAGGCTCAATGGCAGCTCCGGCGCCTCGCTAAACATTCAGCGCCGACAACTTGTTATTCCCTGCCAGCAAAATATTGCACGGTGCTATCACAGAACACCTATACACTAACTCGCTATCTCGAATTTCAGACCTCGCGCTACCTCCTGTGCCGAATTAGCAAGTGTCGCAATGCTATGCTCTGGGTGGCAGGTTCGATTCTCAACGGCATAGGCAATATTTCGATGAGTAAACACCTATGTTCTCATATATAGGTGCACTTTAAGAAATATCAGGGAGCCAAATTAACCCAGATTGCTCATTATACGGAGTTACTCATAGTAATATCATTTGTAATTTTCGCACTACAACCTCAGGAATTGAATGAATATATCAGTGGAGACAAATCCGACTGTTAGAGTTAAGGTTTTTTTTTTCGGACAGTCTTACGTGAGCATCTTTCAAAACCTGGTTCAAACACATCGTAAGGTTTACCATACGAAAACGATCGGTCGGATATGCCATGAATAATTGATTGATATACCACCATATGATTATGAGAGACGCCGTAGTGGAGGGCTCCGAAAATTTCGACCACCTGGGGCTCATTAGCGTGCACTCAAATCTCAGCACACAGGCCTACAAAATTTCCGCCTCCACCGGAAATGCAGCCACCGTAGCCGGGATTCGATCCCGTGACCTGCCGGTCAGCAGCCGAGTACCTTAGCCACTAGACCACCGTGGCGGAGCGGATATTCTATGCATGCCATACCATGTGCAGTAATATCGGCCCAGCAGGCTACCTAGTTTGTCGTGAATCACTCGATTTATTCAACTATGACATATTTCTATCTCGTCGTTCACTTTTTTTTAAACATGGTAGTCTTTCTTGGGATACTTCTTGGGATACTTGAACGCAGAAATTTTGGTCTCTGTGTGTTTAGAAAAAGTTGTTAACGATTTGTGTGTGCATGCGTGTGGGCGCGTGGGTGTCACACTAAATGATTCAGCCACGTTGCAAAGTTTAAGCACTTGCTGACTGCCCAGCCATCTTGAACTGGTGGCTGCGTTCATACCTGTAAACATAGTCGATCAAAAAGAAACTATTACGCATATCTGAGGTGCAACATAAATAAGTACGTATTAGGTGATGTGTTTGTTTACTAGAAAATACATAGCGAAATATTTCTAAAGACCCTAGTGTTTCTTACGTTGTGCTGAAAATGCGACGCTAAGCACAAAAGAAGGCTGGCAGAATAAAACAATGTCGTCTTTACACTACATTTGCAGCGAAGCACACTGACTCATGGCCGTTTATTTATTTTTAGTGTCATTATATAGACGGTTTCAAGGTCATAAGCATTGTATCCCCCCAAAAAAATTCCGGTCACCTCATTTACCAGCTTTCTTAGTGCAGGGTAGCAAACCGGATGCTCCGATTTCTAGTTAACCTCCCTGCCTTTCCCTAATTTTATTCTCTCTCTGTCTCTCTCTTAACGTCAAAACTAAAAGCACGTTTTCAATTTCTTTTCAAGCGCAAGGAAACTCTCGCTTTCGTTTTTCACGTAAAAGAAATGTGCGTAAAGTACAGGGGAATGTTTTGTAATTTTCATGTAGCTCAAAAGAACATTTATTTGAATATATTTTGTCGAATAAGGGAAGGAAACTGTAGAAAATCAGTGGGCTATTTTCTGAAGATCTTGTGGCCCGCCAGTGCTATTAAAGCACATCGGTGAACAAAACCGGAAGTCATCAAGGGGCTGTGTTCGTAAACCTTGAAAGGGTCTATATGTGAAAAAGTTAGCTTCTTTCGTGTCCCCGAGAACATGTCCATTAAATTGACAATATATTGCCAAACACACGCGTTTCTTTTTTCTGCAAGCGGTACATCTTGGCACATGATATGACCGCAATGAATGTGGGGGAGAGAAAGGCAGCACTTATTTCCGTGCGCCACGGAGGTGTAGCGGTTGTGGCACATGGCTGCTGATCTTCCCCTGTACATTCCTTGGCATTACTGTCTGTTAGATCTCATTAATATATTGCCACAGGCATGGAACGAGGTTTAGCCATGCCAATGCGAGCATGTGCCGTGGTGTGAAAGAAGAAGAGGACTGTTGGTGTGTGCTCGTGCTCTAACGTTCGGTTCGGCTCGACGTCCAGTGCTGCTCCTGTGAACAGACGTTGTGGTCGTTCTGTCATCACGTGGCATTTTCTGGTGGAGGTGCTGGGTAGTGTTGTATTCACTGCAATCAGCAGCAAGGTCCCGACACTAGTCGCGACTTGGAAGAACCAGCTGACCTACGGCGTAGCAGGCGACAACTAGGCCTACCTCCTGAATTCGGACCATTTCCACAACTCGGCAGTACTATGGCTAGTGCGGGAACGCAAACCCAAGAAACATCAACGCTGCCTCCTCCATGGTTCTTCAACGTCCCGCATACTCCGAAGCCGTTCCACGGTGACCCTTACGAGGACGTCGACGACTGGCTTGACGACTACAACCGTTGCGGCAACGTCAACGAGTGGAACGAGCAGCGAAAGCTTCGGTATGTCTACTTTTATCTCGAGGACTCTGCGCGCACTTGGTTCGAAAACCATGAAGCCACTATGACAACCTGGCCAGAGTTTTGCAACCAGTTGCGAAATACCTTCCGAAGCTCTGACCGAAAGGAGCAAGCGGAACGGCTCCTCAATTCCCGAAACCAGCGTCCGAACGAGAGTGTTGCCATGTGCGTTGAGGACATGACGCGGCTGTTCAGGCGAGCCGACTCCTCAATGACGGAAGAGAAGAAGGTGCGCCTCCTAATGTGGGGAGTGAAAGAGCAGCTGTTCGCGGGACTAGTGCGGAACCCTCCCAGCACTGTAGAGGATTTCCTCCGCGAAGCCACGACAATGGAGAGAATGCTAAGGCAGCGTTCGTACCAGTATGAGCGTCCTGGCAGTCTTTCGTCAGTGTCGTCGGCCCTACCAACACCTGACGTCACGACTGTAAAAGACCTGACGGAGCTCGTGCGCAGTATTGTGCGCGAGGAGCTGCAAAAGCTACACGTGGTGTCTTCTCCACCCCATGTTGCTGCTCTAACGGATGTCGTTCGCGAAGAGATCCGGCAGCTGGTGCACCCCATGACGACTCTGCGTGCAGCCGAAGTTCAACCCATGACGGCCCCGCGTCCAGCCGAAGCTCCGCTATTAACGTACGCGGAAGCACTACGTACTCCTGCACCGGCTGTTGGCTATCCGTCCCGTCCGTCCACCCTGCAGACGGCACCGTCGTTCTACTCGGGACCACCGCAGTACGGCAACCCACCCCTCACACGGAAATCCAGTGTATGGCGTGCTCCCGACAACCGGCCTCTATGTTATCACTGTGGTGAACCAGGTCACATCTACCGTGAGTGCGTCTACCGGCACATGGGTCTTCCTGGCTTTCGTCCGGATGCTCGTCGACCCAGAGATGGTAAGCGGCCCCGTGCTATCGCCGAGAACTTGGCAAGCCAACGATCCTCAACCCTTCCGCGTCGCCAATCCCGCTCACCATCTCCACGGCGTTCCACGTCACCTGGCCAACAATCAACCTTTGCGGACGTCCTTGCAGGAAGATCGCCTAGATCCACAAGCCCGCGCTGGGGAAACTAATAACAGCGACCTCTGGGGATGAGGCCGCTGTTGATCAACTGTTACAAGACCCTCCCCCGATTTGCCTGCCGACATCCGACGACATTCTTTCACCGACGTGTGCCATCGACGACAAACGGGTCTCTGCTCGTATCTCTGTCCTTGTCGACAACCACCCGCTGACCGCTCTGGTAGATACGGGTGCCGATTATTCTGTTATAAGCGCTGACCTCGCTGCACAGCTAAGAAAGGTAACGACACCTTGGGGACATGGAACCAACCTCCGGACTGCGGGAGGTCACCTATTGACACCGCTAGGAATGT